TATTATTTGGGGTCTGGACAGAGACAGCTGAAAAAGATATTTTAGTTTACTCTTGAAAGAGAAGGCTGTAACCTCTCATCCATATTAAACGAATGAATGAATAAATAAATAAATAAACCTATCACACAAAAAGAGATTCATTGAACATTTTCCTTTTTTCAGGGCAAAGAGCAAAAGAAGTTTAAGGATAGCTATAATCTGGTGTCCTCCATCATGGGTGTTCTGTTAAATGTCATCATCTATTCAATAATATGGGGGATAATTCTGTTTTTGAGTTGCAGCATGAGAACATTTGGCTCACTCTAGAGTTATTTTTCTCTCTTCATTTGGGATTAGATTACAGCATTGAGCAACATACTTCATCTGTCCTTCACACTTGACATTTTCCATAATTTTGATATATTCCCCCTCGTGTTATTTTGAATTGTAAAAGCACATAAATGTATCACGATTAAATAATTAAAAAATACGTATAGACAATTTCAGGAACCATGAATTTGCCTCTTCACACTGAATGCTCCATGGCTAGAGAAAAGTGATGTTTCTGAATGATTTGATAGTTCCTGATCTCTACAAAGCCTCTAGGAGTCCAGTAAGTCCAAATACTCCCAAACTTGAGAAAGGTAAGAAGTCTGTCAAGGATGCAACCATTCAGAATGAGGGCTCCCAGGCTTGTAGATTACTAACTTAAGAGTAAGCTTCTTTAAAAACCTAAACCATATTGCCTTATTAAGCATAAACTAGATATAAATTCTAGTTTTAAAATTTTACCAAGGTTAATATGTTATATGGGACCATACTATTATAATATTAAATAGCTCTCAGTAATTCATAAGAAGGGACAATACACCAGATGAGCTGAGTACAGTATACATAGTATGTTATAAAGAAACAAAGACCCCCCTGCCTCACCCCCCCACCCCTCCACCCCCGCACAAGAAAGTAGTGCTCCACCAGGTGGAGCCTTTTTTCTCCCAAGTTTGAAATGTAATTGCTGGTATTGAGTGCCATCTGGTACATGGAGTTGCCCTCAGATATCCCCAGGACCACAATAAACAGGCAACATGTACATATAGTAAAAAGGAAACCTCAATTTTTATTACATGGCTTTTAAGATGCAAAATAAATGGATTCAACAATTGCTTTGAAAAGTACTTTATTGTGAATATTTCAGTTTTCTTACATCACAAAATTTATCATCATTGGATTCTAAACTCAGAAAAAAGAAATAGATTTCCCAAATTCATGCATCTTGCTAATACGCCAGTGTCCAACATACCAGGTGTGGAGTGCTTAGGCTTTATAAGCTGGGGGCACTCCAGATTTAACAAAGCAGCCAACACCTGGAAATACATAAAAGCTGACCTCTAAGCACAAGGTGATGAGTGTTAGTTAACTAGGCCCCCTGGATTTAGAAAATGGCCCCTTGTGGCTCAGAAAAGAAAACTGAAAATGCAGCATCAGAGTTTAGTTTTAGCTCAGATTTCCTGGTATTCTCAACGCCTATCTTCTCTTTACTCCCCACAGGCAAAGCACAGCTCAAGTCTTGACTGTCTTTTGGTTTGAGAAGAATTTCTTTTAACGTGCACCATGCTATTGCTTTATAGACATTAGTGAACTGCATGAGAAAAGCGATTTCTGCTTAAGTACATATGGCATATTTCTACAGAAAAAATAACCCTGCTATTTTTATGCACATGACAATTCCTACCCTGTGATGATGTGCTTTAACTGTTACTGTCATTTTCCTGGATGTTGCCTTGTGGTTTCACCACAAATTCTGCAACAGATTTCCTGGGAGTGTGGCAAAAGTCATGCGTGAGAGGCTGAGTCTATGATTTGATTGAGTAACCATTAGAGTCCTTTTAGTGGTTAATCAACGTTGAATTAATTTAAAAAACTTTACATTAAGTGTATAATGTGTCCTAAAGTTCTATCAGTTGCTTTCATTCAGGTCATTTTTAATTATGTAATAGAGAATTGCCACATTCCCAGAGACCCTGTATTTGACTGTATGGACTGCATTACATTAAAGATAACCATTTAAAAACATTTTTCTTCATGACCATTTTCTCTGGGCTTGTGTCTGTAGTGTGTGCTTGACGTATCCTCCAAACAATAGCTTTCTTCTGTCACTGTTACTTTGTGTTCAAAAGGCAAAGTAATCAAAGTCTTGTTATCCTTGCTCATACTATGTAAAATACTGGTAGAAAGAAAGTGGAGCGTTTCAAACTAAATGCCACCAACGTACAGATTATTTTTAGTATCTCTGTTTATTACAACGTTAACACTCATTGTCTTGCTTTGCCCCTCTGCTTGAGCCCATAATCATAGTCAGATAACATGTACACCAATCATCTTAGACTAGATCAAGATTATCTAGTAGAACTTTCTGCAGTGATAGAAATAGTCTATATCTCCATCATCTACTATGGGAGTCACTAACCACACATGTGTGGCTACTGAGCACAACAGAGGAAGTTTAGTTTTAATTTTACTCAATTTAACTTTGAATTTACATAGCCACATGTGGCTTGTGGAGACAATATTGAACAGCTTGGTCTTTGCATGGACATTGTATCTACTCCTCAATAATTTTGCAAATTTAAGTATATTGTCATGCATGCTTGTATTATATTGTTTTGTTTCTGCTTAAATGTTTTCTATCTGATCCAAATTTTAATGGATATATGTCCAATAGTAAGGGTCATCAACATAAATTATTCAGTGGTGAGGCCTGTAGATAAAAAATGACCACTGAGAGGGTAGAACCAACAAAGAGGGAAAGAATGAGAAGATATGGTTTTGTGGGAAAGATAATACCAAAGACTACCCAGGCCTTCTTTCTTAGATGTGGAAAGCAAGAATGGTAAAGAAGTATGGTGACCACAAAAGAATTCTGATAAGTGAAATCATCAAATTTTAAAGCCAGAAGGGAATGTTGAAAATCTCTTATTCTGGATCTCTTTCAATGTGGTGCAGTGTTTGACAGCAGTGACTTGATACCTGGACAATGCATGGCTTAGAATCACACTTTGTTAGCAGTTTAATCTAAACTGAATTACCATCTCCGAATGTCAATTTCCTTATCTGAAAATCAGTGACAATAATAATATATACCTCCTAGATATACAGTTGTCCCTCAGTATCTATGGGGGATAGGTTCCATGACCACCCATCCCTTCCCTAGAATACCAAACTCTTCAGATGCTGAAGTCCCTTATAAAATGGCATAGCATTTAACCTTAGTATATCCTCCTGTATACTTTAAAACATCTCTAGATTACTTATAATACTTAATAAAATGTAAATGCTATGTAAATAGCATTTAAACCTTTGTGTAGGTTTACGTTGTGTTTACCATAGTTAATGTGACAATAAAAATTATGAAAATGTGTCACAAAATAAATAAATTTGTTCAATTTTCTTACATTACCCTGAATCCCTTATCCCAGATTCACTTTGCCCCAAACTTGTGATGATAATTGCTACTATGCCTACAGCCCTGACTCTGAGAGAGAGAAAAAAATAAATACACTGTTTTCTTTCCTTTTTTACATGCAAGAATTCACATACAGAAAAATCTAGATTCTTTAAAAGCAGCTTTAATCTCTAATAAAGCACAAGAGATGTAGCGGAGCAATTCAGGGTCACAGGCATTGCTGCAATCAGATTTTCCAAAAAGTGTAATGGACAGTAAAAACAAAGTAAAATGGATACTTGGGACACCAGAGAGAGGCTGACAAATGATTTTCAAGTTTGCTTGGTTTTGTTTTTATAAGGAGAGAATGATAAAAGAGAGGGATTAGCAATTGGAAAAGGTAACATAAAATGGATCCCTCAAAAGGAGCTCTCCGAAGCCCTATCTCCTCTAGGTATCCCACAACCTCAGGGACCTATCCGGCAGGTTTTTTTTTTTTCACCCACTGGGAAGTGGGGGTGAGGGGGCTGCAGAAAGAGGAATGGAAGCTTCATGTGGAGGGAAGGCTGTTCTGCAGATGACTTGAAGCCTTGATTTTCTCCCACTACCGCTTCTACACTGCTCTGGAGTCATCCCCACATTCTGCCTGCTTTCCCATCCTCTGTCCACAGAGACACTGGTTCCTACTTATATCCATCTCAGAGACACTGACCTTCAAAATCCATTAGAAATTAAGCAAGTTCTTTCCTAACATAATCAGGGCATTCACCTCGAGGTGCAAAGACAAATCCTCTGAATAAAATGAGAGGTGTGGGCCATGATCTCACAGATTTGATACCTGTGAGCACCCCACTGCAAGCTCTTCACCCCTACACTTAGACTTTGGGAGGCTTTTGGGTGTGTGCAGGGGGACGGAACTGGAGAAGTGAGGTACATTCATTATTCACCCATTAAAATGCTGGAGGGATCTCCAATGAAACTTAGTCTTAAGATGCCTACCTACATACACATATGCACACATGTGAGTATGTTTTTTTTTGTGTGTGTACAAGGACATATAGTCCATGACAATCAGGAACAGGCAGTGGACAATGACTATTTCTTAGACATTTTAAGAGAAAGCACCACGAGACAAATTAGACACTTTTTAAAATGCACTTTGGGTAAATTTGCGGTGATTCTAGAGTTTAGCACAGCTTCTGAAAAACGCTGCCTGCTCTGAGCCCTTTGGGCAGGAGCAGTTTTCCCACCTGACAATCTGAGTCCTTTTGTTTTGCTTGTTTCTTGATTTTTGCCCCACAGTACCGCACCCCTTTCTTACCTAACCTCTTTCCACCTGGGCTGGTCTCGCCTGGGCTCTGCCCCCTCGCCTCCCTCCCTTCTCTCTCCCTGACTCAAACCCTAGGGAACTGGTGTCAGTGTTTGGAATCCCTAGATTGCTCTAGCAGTGAAACTAGACAGATTAGGAGCTAGGGCACATTTGGCTGAAAGACAGCTCTTTGCTTTCTTCTTATGCAGCTTCCCCTTCCTCTTTTCCCAAATAGATATGTAAACACATGTATTTTCCTGTTTAAATTTAGCGAATTGGTCCTCTGCCTGTGCCTTGATTTAGCTGTTGGGTTGAGTCTTGCTCCTCCCTTCCCCACTCGGATAGGAGCCACTGGGATCTGGAGCTCCAGCTTCCAAATTGAAGCTGGCCTCAGGCCAGGTGACCTTTTCTTTGTAAGTTTCTTTCCTAAGTGGGGGGGGGCGAAGAAGGGGGGACTGGGATCTGTTTGGTGTTGGGGGGGGGGTGTGAGGAAAGGAGGGGTCTGGAAGTGAGTAAAGGGCTGTTGTTAAACAGTTTCTTACCGTAAGAGGGAGTTCAGACCTAGATCTTTCCAGTTAATCACACAACAAACTTAGCTCATCGCAATAAAAAGCAGCTCAGAGCCGACTGGCTCTTTCAGGCACTGACTCCGAACAGGATTCTTTCACCCAGGCATCTCCTCCAGTGGGATCCGCCAGCACGTCCAGCAGCACCATGTGGGTGACCAAACTTGTGCCAGTCCTGCTGCTGCAGCACGTCCTCCTCCACCTCCTGCTGCTGCCCATCGCCATCCCCTATGCAGGTTCGTTTTTCTTCTTCATCATTATTATTTTAACTCTGTCTTGCTAAACTTCCCTTTTCCTCCTAACACTCTCTTTACCCTCTTCCCAGCATCCTTTCTTAACTCAGTGTGTGGTGTGGGTTTTAAAAACCTCTCATTATGCTTTCTTTTGACATTCTTTTTCTGTTTTAAGAGCACTTAAAATGATAATTAACACCCCCTAAGTCCCCCCACCCCCCAACCCCCAGCCCCACTTAGCCTAATAGTTGTGGATTATGGGACAGGGATGAAGTGTTAACTGGCTGGGACTTTGCTAGTCTGGACAAGTTTAAAGCTGAAGAGAGGGTCTGGTCTGAAGTGGGGAGAGTGATGGTCAGTCCAGCAGGGACTTATCTTTTTCCTGAGGATAAATTTCCATGACTGTCCACTGCCCTGCATCACCCAGTCAATATCCCAGAGCCAGATTATGACTTTATACAGGTTTGCACTTGGAGGAGGCAGATGAAACTCTGAGTAGATAGAGGCATGCTATAAAAATGAAAGGGAAAGCCTCTCTTGCAGGATCTCATTCTTCCAGGGTATGGATGCCTGCCCTTTTGAACGTGCAGTGCAAGGGAGGCAGAAATTGTGTGATTTTCATGAAAGCTGCGGGATTGCCCCTTTCAGTCTCCCACTTTCTCCCTTGGATTTGCAGCTTGGGGAGGAGTTGCTTGGGAGTTCATATTGCCTGGAAGTTTAGAGATCTCATTTGCTGTTTTGGGAAGTGTCTGTTGTTATCAGGACAAGAGGAAACATCTGTATTTGGTTGTCTTATCACTGTAGTGGCTGGGGTGCCAATGGGAGACGACAGTGAACACCAAGGGTGGGCACAGGGGAATAAAAGAATGGAACAAATGTCCAGATGATAGACATGGCCTTTTTACAATATAAAACAGAGAACTAACTGGCTGTATTCTTTTGATATAAGTTAAATATAAAATTTATCAGACCTCTGATCTAGTTTCTAATGGAATATAAGTGTTGAAAATGTCAAGACTGCTAAATGACAAGGAAGATCTTTCAGTACACCTGGCTTTCTTCTGTAAGGATACTTCAAAAAGTTCGTGGAAAAATTGAATTAAAAGATAATACAAATCCTTCCATGAACTTTCTGAAGACTCTTCTTATTTTGTGAAGTGGCTCTTTTGAAATGACAATGTTTGGAAAGGGTCAGTTTGAAAGCATTTAGGTAAGATTTCAGAAGAGGTGAAAAAGAAGTTAGGTCAAATCAAGCAGGTTATCAGACTTGAGATATGTCATGTTATTATAGATTCTTATAAGACATTGCTGGTTTAGGGAATTTTGAGCATACATTGAAATCATGGCTAATATTCTGAGGTCTTTCATTATCAAAGATTAAAATGTTGCTGTTCTGAAGTACAATATGGTTACCTGAAATCATCTGTGCTAATGCAAGGGGAACACAGTGTGGAAAACCCAAACAGTAGATCAACCATAGACAATGTCTATTTGTTTTTGGCATGCATTACGAAGTTTTGGCAGGAGATATACATTCATAATTATATTTCACTTTGGCTAATGTTGAAATGACTGTGTTTCCTGAGTATAGGGAGAATACAGCCCAAGAGTGTGCTGGCAGGCAAGGAGAAGCCAACTGGGAATTACAGATATGCTGTGAATAATTCCTGAAGTGGATACTGCTGAAATTGTCATCAAAAGAGGGTCTGCCTTTGTTTGGGTGGCTGCTATATTTTGTTAGTTTTTCTTTTTTTAATAACCTCCAAAATGGAAAACATGGGAAGCCCTCTTAGAACATACAGAGAAAGTTTGTTCTTTTCTTTATGTCATCTAATGTTGAATATTTAGAGGGTTTTTGTTGTTGTTGTTACTTGCTTTGGTTATACTTTTTGATTTATTCTATGAATCTATATTTGTACATATTTTATAACAACACATTTTTAGAAAAGAAGTGGACACTATAATAAGTTGACAACCAGTTATGAACAGAATATATTATGGAAATACTTTATTAAAATGTATCTTAAGGGGCTGGCCCGGTGGCGCACTGGAGAGTGCGCCACTTGGGAGCGCGGCGGCACTCCCGCCGAGGGTTCGGATCCCATGTGGAGACCGGTTCCCACTCACTGGCTGAGCGCGGTGCGGGCGCAACACCGAGGGTTGCGATCCCGTTGCCGGTCCCCCGTACGGGCGTGACACCGTGGGTTGCAATCCCATTACCGGTCAGTAAAAAAGACAAAAAGGAAAAAAAAAATGTATCTTAAGTAATATTCAATATAGTGGACTCAATCCATCCTTGCAGGAGTTAGTCTACTTAGAATTACTTCCTATTCACTCCCACTGACTTTGGAAACAAATACCCAATCATCTGCAACAAAGGAAGCATTAAATGAGCACCTAATGTCTAAGAGTCCGTAGGGGATATAAAGCTGAACAAATGAGAATGGAACTGATATATTTCTTGAGCAACTACTATGGAACAAGTTCTAAAATAAAGCTCATTTAATTTGAATAAGATTGGCATTTTTGGATTCGTCTTACATGAGGTGAGGAAACAGGTTTAAAGAGCTCAGTTATCTTATTTATTTATTTTTTGTTAGTTAAGAGACAGAGCTGAGGTTTTTTCCCTAAATCTAATGAATAAAATGAGCAGTGTTTTTTTTTCTTTTATTTATACTGAATCCAGGAGCAGCAAAATCTACTGAAACTTACTTTTAAAAGATCATCTGGCTACATAATTAAAAAAACGTCTGTGTTAGAAAGAGTTATACTATGGTTGAGAATTCATTTTTAGCTTAGAAGATCAAACCAGGGTTTGGGGTGTAGGGTACCCAAGTCAAGTATGAAAAGATGGGTGGTAGCATGTTTGATACCTAAGTCAGGGGAACACAAGTGGCCAAGGGCATAGAAGTGAGAAAGTATAAGGATGCCCCAGAAAGGACTTCCACATAGCAGCTGAAGTAACCATTTGGGGCAGGAGTACCAGGTTCAGGAGGAGGAGTATGGACGGTGATTGGAAAAGTAAGATGGGGTAGAAGGGATAAGCTAGAACATCATGCTAAACCATGTGGTCTCTCTAATGAATATGGTGAGCAGCAGCTGAAAGTTTGCGAGCTGACTAGATACTTGATTGAAGTTGTACTTCGGTGTGGTTGCTACAGTTGCTGTGTGCAGGGGGAGTTCCAGGCAGAAACAGATAGTGAAGGCAGAGACCGGGATGGGCCTTCTATGACAACGAAACCCTGACCAAGGAAGTGGAAAGAAGGAAAAGGAGGGAACTATTTAGGGAGGCCCCTAAAATGCATTAAACATCACTTCATTTTGTAGATCTCCTTGAAAGAGATTTTGCTTCTTCTCAAAGATCAACATTTGATTTAAATCTGACACGACCTCTTTCTTCTTGACATCTTTATTTGTGATACTGTTGCCTTCTCTAAGGAAGGGGGAATGGTTGTCAGTTTGTGAAATCCAAGTCCTAGATAATAACAATAAAAATTTGGACTTCTATTTGTGATTCTTGTCTTTGGGGAGTTTAAAATCTCTGGTTACAAGCATTTTCTTCCATTCATTATTTGTATACTTTCATCTTAACATCTTGCCACTTCCAACTGTTAATCACTAATCACGTGGGAAGGTTTCTCAGAATATGTGGAGCCAGATTCCTGCTTCTTTCCACACCCTGCAAATCCTTTCCTTGCATGATTTTCCTTTGAAGTCAATGGTTAGTCCACACAGAGAAGAAAATATATGAGGTACTGAGAGAAACGAGTGTGAGGCCCGGAGACGAGGGGGAGAAATGTGTCTTTCTTCAAGCACCTTGATACATTTGACCCTACTTTTTGTCTGTAGGTTTTCACTAGGATCCTAATGATTTCAATTCCAAAACAGGGACTTTAGGTTCTTCAGGAAATATAGCTTCTAGAATATTTTCCCATACTGGGAGAAGAGGAAAAAGGAGTCATAATTTAAAGTACAGGAAAACACAACAAATTTTCAGTGATCTCTCACCCTTTGATTTCATTTCAATATTTTGTTTATAAACTTCAACCAACAGTGACACAGAAAAAATAGTAAAATCTGATCCAAAGATATTTTTGAGTTTCTTTCCAAATTAAGCTTGGCTTTTAACTGTTTTCAGTAAAACAAGCATCAGTTGTTAATACATATGGAAGAGAAAGTTGAAACTATTTTCAGCAAAAGAATTTTATTTTCAGATGCTGTTTTTGAATGACTTCTGTTTTGAATATTTCTTTTACTGAATAAGGAATTAATTTTATAGATGCATGAATTACATGATGTACAACTAGCTCCAACTTCATGTTTAGAGTAATTAGTTACTGACCTAAAAAAGTTTCTATGTCAGGAGAAGTAAATAGTGAGAAGGGAATCCTGGTATCTGGTTCTGATTGGCCCTGATTAGCTTTGTAGCCCCAGACAAGCTTTTCACTTCTATTTATTATCTAGTAAAGGGAAATCACAGATTTATTTGCTCTTAAGAATACTTTTTGATCTTTGATAAAAGGTAGTGATGGAAGACTTATCAGTGAGAAAGGGCAGACTTTTTATGAGGCACAAACCACACATTAACACATTTCAATAGGATAGCTGAAGATCTGTAGAATTAAACACAGCCAACAATTCCACATGGACTTCTTTGGTCCGGAGGAGTCTTCACTGCTTGCCCTCATATTGCATGATATTGAGAAAAGAAAGCGGAACATCAAACAGGGCCTCTATTTTATCTGATAATTACTAAAATACTTTATAAATTATGTTTATAATGAATTATGTTAGCCTTAGACTTAGACTTTTTGAATTTATTTTTATCCTCCTCTTTCACCCTTAAACATGTATAATAAATAAGTATACATAAGGCCAATTTTTATTTTATGTTTTTTGTTAACAAAATTCATTTTAGAAATATATATAAGATTCCTCCATTTTGGTGGTTATTTGTTTTTTAATAGATTTTTCTGCATCCATTTACTACTATTTATTTCTAAGAAATATTCAAATTTATACAAGTATAGGACATCAGATGATTATTATGATGTGAAACATTTCATAGCATCTAAGAAAAGTATAATAAGGTCAAAGAAAAGATAAACTCTTAATGGAGAAACTTATCTCCCATTAACATGGTTCTGAGAAACCAAAATTTGAATAGAATCATGTCTTCTTTGCTCAGGAGAATAACATTTTATTCTCTTATGCCAGAAATTAAAAGATAATTTATTGATATCCAAGTATTTACTTAATGATCATGGTTTAAATAACCCCTTTTGGTTCAAAGTATAACTTTTCTTTTATAGATTGAGTAATGAAGATATTAACATTTCTGGTAATTAAACAAAGTCATTTGGCAAGTCGATAAGAATTCCAGAATTATCACCTGTCTGCCAACATTGTGCAAGGCATTTGGTTCACGCTTAATAAATAACATGTTGACAGATTATTTGGTTGATTTAATTTTTATGTTAAAATATCTCTTGAACTGTATCTATTCTACCATAGGCGTTCCATCTTGTAGGACAAAGAAGAGTTAAAAAATGAAAGCATCATTATAGGAATTAGTACCAGTCTTTTTGAGATTGTGCTTTGGAGTTTTATAGAGAACCCAAAATTTAGAGAACCTCATGTTCTCTCATTTACATTGGACTTCAGGTTAGGATAGACATTAATGAGCAGCATCTGCATGTTTGATAAACCAACTGGAGTCAGTGGTTTCTGGCAAACTTAGAGTATGATGCCATTCTCAGTACCTCACTCACTCTTCTAGCCATATTTTCAAATTTTCTGCACAAAAATTTTCACCCTCCCTTCTCAACACATTTCGCCACATATAACGACCAGGAATGCATTTCCTGCTCTACCATCCAAGTTTCTTCTCTATTGATAGCTCTATACAAAATCTTCAGAAAATGTTTACAAATTATATTTCCACATACATTCTTAGCAATTCTTAGATAAAGATGGCATGGTAAGTGATTAACAGTGGGGTTTTGAAGCCAGGCAGCTGGGTTTCCAATCTGAGATTTTCTAAGTGGCCAATTAATTTTTCCTTGTGTCTTGGTTTCTTCAGCTGAAAAACGAATGCATTATTACTACCTTTGTTGTAAGAATGACCAAAAGAATTGACAGACAGAGGGACTTGATCATAGCCGTCCTTATTATATAATAGCTGCAATCTATTAGACATTTAGTTCCACAATGTAAAGAAGGTGATCGTCATTTTTTTGGCAAATTGAGAATAAAAAACAGGTTCTTGATAATCTATAGTTATTCATAAAATTAAATTTCTTAGTATGTTTTAGTTCTATTTTTCAGGCTTTTAGTAGGAAGCTGCATGCTATTTAGGAGGCTTGTGCTTTCATGAAGAAAAATGATACTGCCACATTAAAGGATGAAGTTTTACGTACACTTGATTTACAGCATTTGGCTTGATCTCAAGATAAACAGTTCAGTGATACCAAGGAATAGTGACCAAAAGCACACAAAACATTTATGTAGTTACTAATGAGAAGAGAAGGGCTAAAATATGAATAGCATGAATTACTTTAAAGAGCAAGTCAGGACAATTTGTTCACTGTACAGTTTTTAGTAAGAAGTTTCTCTCCTGTCTGAATTGGCTTATCTAAATAATACCATACCTGACATAAAGACCAACTGTAGAAGGAAATGAAAAAATTAGTTATAAAGTGTGACATGATATGTTTCTGGCACTGATACTTGCTTTCATGCTGTTTGGAGAATATCATGCTATTTATTTCTTTAGGGTGAACCCTGTCCTAATTTTTAAAAGCATCCTTCATTTGAAAGAATGTAGATGAGTGACTCTACATGACAAGTTACTTGTTTTTCTGATCACGATATTCTTCTCTCACCTTTAACTATCTCAACTTCACTCCACTCCCAACCCCTGGAGGTCTAGTATATTGACAGAAAACTCTTTATCTTGTAGATGACCCTTAATGATATTTTTTTCTTAATGATATGAGCCTTAAAAGCATTTCCCTCATGTCTGGTGTTTAATTTTTGTATTAATAGAGGGACAGAAGAAAAGAAGAAACACACTTCATGAATTCAAAAAGTCAGCAAAGACTACTCTAGTCAAAGTAGACCCATTACTGAAGATAAAAACCAAAAAGATGAATACCACAGACCAATGTGCCAATAGATGTATTAGGAATAAAGGACTTCCATTCACTTGCAAGTAAGTTACTTCTTTTTTTTCTTAGGATCATTTTCCAAATATAGCATGTACTCATTATAACCATTTTTTTATTCAGTGTAATTTGTTTTCAAAATTATAAGTTTGACTCTAGTTTTAATTCAATATAAGAGAAGACTTAGCTCTCAGTTGATGGAAATAGGCTTAAGTAAGGGAGAGCACCCAAACTGCTACCTTCTAACCTCAGTGGCTTTGGTTATGGAATTTATGTTTCCTCATCTTATGAACAATTGAATTTGAGGAAGTAAAACTAAATTAGATTGAATTTTATCTAACATTTTGTTCAGAGTGACTTTTTTTTTTTTAAGAGGAGTAGAGAAATTTGTAGAATAGAAATTGGGAACAGCGAAAATGTACAGCAACTTATATCATTGTCTTTAGGAATTTAAATAAAAGATGTTGAGAGAATTAGATAAAAACTAGAGGGGTTGGTGTCAGCAGCAGAGGCTGTTGAAAAGATATCAGTGGGTAGCAAAGATGAAGTTTCAGGTATAAAGAAATGGTGTCATTCAAAGAGACATGAGGGGACTCAAATGGAGAGTTTATCATTTGACAGTCCTATGTGACCTCACAGGGAAGAATTCCTAACTACTCTGCCAACAATCCCACAGGATAAAACTTATACTTTTCAGCCAGGAAAGTGACAATTTCATCTGAATAGTTTCCCAAACTGGTAGAAGATGAATTTTCTAGTTCTTCTTCATAAACATTCTCTCCTCTCACTTATTTCCTATATTCTTAATCCCTATTTTATTCCCCATGTCTTTTTTCCCCCTACATAATTATGCATAAAATTCTGTAAAGTTTGAATTCTACTCTGTTACATTTGGATAGTGACACAGAATGCGAATACAGAGTTTAGTAATGTCACGGCGAGAGCTCCTGATCTCATCTTGCCTTTCTTTCTCAGAGAAATGAGTGTGATGGGTTATGACGGTAACGCACATGGCCAGAGAAGGTCTTCATCAGATTTAGAGGAAAGAGAGACTCTCTCCTTTCTATTTTTGTAGCCAAACCACCACTTTCAGGGAGAAACTTCCTGGCAAGGGGAATGAGAATTGATTTTGCAAGTATATTCCTATGATAATTCTTTTATTCCCTGACTTGCCAATAAAAACCTTGAGACTTTGAGATTTTAAAAAATAAGTTAGAGAAAACTACTCTCAAAATTTATGGAGATGTTGTTCTGGCAATTGTGAATGTTGGAGTTGTAATTTCTTTTCTCAGGGTTGGAGCAAAGGGAATGGGAGACCCATATCTCATGTGTGTGTGTGTGTGTGTGTGTGTGTGTGTGTGTGTGTATTTGGGATCATTAGATACCTTAGTTATACAGAATTGAATGGACCTACTATGAAATTCTGAAATTAGGTTCTTAATGAATCAAAGGATCCTGTTTGCAAACTTGTTATATGAACTGGAATCATTGAAAAACAATGAAAATTATATTAAACCACTTGGAAAATACCAAAAATGTTGTGTGAATACATCTGTAAATTCAGTGGGTATGGAGTGAAACACTCGAATAGTGTCTCCTCTTGAGAAGGTACCAACAATATTGATTTTACAGGAACTTAAGCTCCTCTTTGCTGGTTAGGAAGGATGACCAGAATGCCTGATTCTAAGCTCTTCAGTAAATTGCTAACTTGTGAATTCACTTACATGAAGAAAATAGGAGGCTTTTCTCTTCTAGCCATGGCTGAGTAACTGAGACGAATTGCTTTCCTGCCATGAACAACTAGAAAAAAACCAAAATAAATTGTGGAAGAGAAGATGATAATTAAAATAATGCTAAGACAAAGATTCTTATAGTGAAATCTAAAGAAAATGCAACTTATGATATTTGATAGTTTCCACCCACTCCCTGTGGAGGTGTAAGATAATATAAAGAAACACTTTTCTGAGAGAATACGTCATTGTAACAGAATGAGTGAAAAGAGTGAAGGACATCAGCAAACTGGAAACCACTTTGCAGATGGAATCACTGCTTTTTATTTCTAATTATCACTTTTTGGTAATTATTTTGTTTTAGTTTTTTTAGTGAACAACAACAACAAAAAAAACCATTATAACACTAAACTATAGGAATACTAATTGTAGGGATGACACATTTTAATAATTTCCTTCAAGATGTTATATCAAAAGCACATTCTCTAATATTATGTTTTTTTAATTAAAAATGCTTTCACAAGCAAATCTATTTAGAAAATGTTGACTTAAATAAACAAACAGTTATACTCATGGCAAAATTTTCATGTCTTTAATAAGCTTCAATGTTTTATAACTTGCCAAAAAGGGATATTATATGAAAAAATTTCAAACGTTTGATTTTAGATCCCTCTTCCTAGGAGAATCTCCTGGAGTAGTGATTTATCAAATGCACCTTACAAAATGTCATTTTAGAATGAATGTACTTTATACAAGTACAAACTTTGGAAATTAATTATTATATCTCAAATATAATAATTTGTATACCACTGCAAACAATCTTTCAAGTTGCTGTGCCTTTACAAAAATATAAAGCCTTCAGAAATAATCCAAGTAGTTGTATTACATATTGGTTTTGCTTGATGAAGCCCTTATTATTCTACAAGTCATTCGTAAAAACATAAGAACACTCCAAATAATATTTAATCTAATATTTAAATCTACACCTACAAAAATTTAATTTTGTTCTTTATTTTGGCATCAAAATGGTAGGTTCAAATATCATATTGTTATTATGTATATGTAATTATGCATTTGTTTTTATATTGTCCTCCTTGGAAAATCATGTGCCCATTCTATAAAATCTTTATAAATAGTAGTATTCCTTCTTTTCATTCAGACATTTTTTTCAGGGCCTTTGTTTTTGATAAAGCAAGAAAACGATGCCTCTGGTTCCCTTTCAATAGCATGTCAAGTGGAGTGAAAAAAGAGTTTGGCCATGAATTTGACCTCTATGAAAACAAAGGTAACTGATTTCTCCCTAAATATTATATAATGAAGTAAAGTATAATAAAATATACGTTTGTAATTTCCTGCCACAGTGCTCTTTTGCACTGATTTTTTTTATTATACACTGGATCTGTTATGCAGTCGCTCCAGACATTAAGACAGATGAAACTAGTATCTCGACTATTTTTGGTATGGTACTTTAAAGAGAGCACTTCCCAAACTTTCGTAATCTACATTACCCCATCTCTGATTTTTTTAGAAGCATCTCCTAGAGTCGACATTCTCCATGTTCATTTTAGAAAGTGCCACCTTAAATTATTAGTTTAAGGTACTTTATATTCCAGAAAATTTTGAGCTTACTATAGTATTTTATATTTTAAAAACTTTGGATAACTAATCTGATTTAAAGTGATGATTGATGATGATAACAAAGTGTGGATATTTTGAAAAAATGAGTTGGATTTATACTTAATCATACACATTAAAAAAATCTTTAAAAGAGAAATAGAGACAAAACTATTTGTTAATTTATGTATTCTGGTGGTCTGATATTGTATTCATAAGATATTTGTTTTTTTCAAAAGCAAAATTATATACAGGAAATAACTGAAGAATGTTAAGTAAATATGAATTTTACAAATTAAATCTCTCATCACACAAAATAAGAATTATGAATTTTACTTATAAAAATAACATTAATGTTTTGTTTGGGGTTTTTTTTTTGGTGGCTGGCCAGTACAGGGATATGAACCTTTGACCTTGGTGTTACCAGCACCATGATCTCCCAAGTGAGCTAATTGGCTAGCCCCTATATTAATGCTTTTTGAAAAATCATACTGTGTCCTATTAAATTTGGATATTTGGTACTGTATTCAGATGTTTTCATGTTAATAGGGTAAATGTTTAAATGAAATTAAAAATAAATTCATGGTAGAAAATAAGATTATCTCTATACACCCCAACAATTCTACAAATCCTAAATGTAATTCATGATTTAGCATAAGACCATTTTTACTTCTTATTTTAAACCTACTGTAGTTATTTCATACATGCACACACATGCACAAAAACCCACACAATTTTACTTAGGTAAAGAAAGACAAATTAGTTAATTTTATTATCTAAGAGTAACTTTCTGAATTCAATATAGGTTTTAAAAAGCATTTAATTTTTTGTTTTTAATATTTTCTTAAAATGGGTTATGTATTTAAGCAAATCACAATTGCCTTACCAGTTGAATATACAGTCTAGTCTATGTTAAGCATATAGACTAATCTCTGTAGTTATCTATATCTATCTCTATATATACACTCACAAAATTAAAACGTCTCAGTCTATTTGTTTTAGATTATTCTGAAATGTGTTATTTTGAAAATACTAGTAGAAGCTTTAGGCAAGAAATTTCAATGTTATTTGAAATAGTTTAGAAGCGCTAATTACTTACAGGCTTGAATGGAATTCTATTTTTTTTTTCTCTTCAATAAATACAGCATGTTTCACATAGTTACAACATTTTTCTCTGCTTTCTTTGATAGACTACATTAGAAACTGCATCATTGGTAAAGGAGGCAGCTACAAGGGAACGGTATCTATCACCAAGAGTGGCATTAAATGCCAACCCTGGAATTCCATGATACCCCATGAGCACAGGTAAGAACAGTATGAAATAAAGTGGGAGGAGCCTGTTGTTCATTTATGCATTAACAGTTGCACATTAGTCCTTCAGAATGATTGCACAGTTCTATGATAACGCAGCCAACTTTGCTGAATTGTGTTAGGCCAAGGCTTATGTGAATTCATGACTGATACTTAGCAAATGATTAATAAATTGATCATTAAAATGTGGCCTAACATTACCTTACCTCAATGCCTCAATTTGTAGATCTCGATGTTTATGAAGAAATAATGAAAACTTCATTTAGAAAATAAGATTTTTCTTCCTCTTATTGCCTTCAAGAAAGTACAGCACTGTGCAGCTGGAAAGATTGACTGAAAAATCAGAGGTGGATCAGATTCTCACCTTACAGAGGGCTGAGTGTTCTTTAACCTTGGTGGATCTCAACCTTGGCTGCACATTAAAATCACCTGCTGGGAGCCCTTGACAACTCCCACCACCCAGGTGGCAACACAGATCAATTAAATCAGAATCTATGGGGAGAATAAGGCAACAGTGTTTTTGTAAGCTCCCCAGATGACTCCAAAGGGCAGCCAAAGTTGAGAACCACTGCTAAAAGCTCATGCTGCAAATTGACCAGCTTTCCCATTTCACTTATTGCCTAAAGACTAGAGGAAACTTCTGAGTTTTGGAAATCAAATATCTACACTGAAGAGGAAAATTGTGTTCATTATAGCAGATGGGTACTATTTAGAGACAAGTAAACACAATATCCATAGGCTCATTAGATTGAGTTTTAATCATCATGGAGGAAAAACGTAGATATCTAACACAACTGGAGAACTAAATATAACCACTGTTTTCAAGACTTTTTCACAGATAATTTTGACAGGAACTAACATAGTTTAAAACACCTCTTTCCTGCCTAGTAAATGCATTGGAAGGTTTAGTTTACCATGTGCTGTACAGTTTACTTGGCTTATCTTATTTAATCCTCACAGGAACCACACAGTGGGTAGTTTTTTAGTTCTATTTTGCATACATGGTGAAACTGAAGAACAAAGAACCTTAGTAACTTTTCATGGTCATACAAAATCAGTAAGTGGTATAGCCAGAGTCACTGTCACTCTAGAACCTGTGCTTTTAACAACCCCATAGCATGAAACACTAGGCCTGTCAACAGGATACACGCTGTGACTTGTTTTTCAGTAGTGCTGATGTCTTTGCCTCCATAAATACACTTTTTATTTCATTCTATTTTTTGAGCATAATTTTGCAAGATATTACTTTAGTAAACAGAGATGAGTTAATTGGCTGATATATAAAGAAAAAGCTCCTCCACACTGGGATCAAACCATGATCTTGGTCTAATTAGTACTGGCTACTAAGTGTCCAAGCTGATCAGCTGTATGTAGAAAATAACAATTTTCCTAAATTAGTTACCTACAATTTTATAGGAATACCCCTGAAGCATACTGTTATCCTTATATTACAAAAACAAATGATATAATTGGTTTTGTCTTCTCTTAAAGGTTTACATGGTGTCCTCCCTGCATAGTGAAGAAAGCATTTTATTTAAATAGATCTAAGTTTCTCATGAACAAAGGAATAGCATTTGAAATCAATCCTACCCTAGTCCAGGGGAGTGCACTGGACTGACCTAGTAGAGGTCTTATTTCAACCCAAATTCTCTATGACTCTGATTCTCTGCTAGAGGAGTAAATGTGAAATAGATCTCCCTGGGAATTGGCTTCCCAGTCCAATCAGCTATTTTACCAACAAACATTTCCTTGTGATATACAGGTTTATGACGGAGAGGATGTTGTATATTAATCAAATCCTTTTTTGTATTAAATGGGAGCAACACTTAATTTTCATCAATTAGCAGCTTATTGGAATATCTGCATGATAGCTTAACACTTTTAAGATAAGTGCTAACTAAAGGTTAATTTTATGGGGAATGGAAAGAGAAATATGTCTCTTTCTGAAGAGTGATTTATTGTTGACTCCCTAAATTGAAATATTTTACAAGTAGCTTAATGGGAAGATGATGATGGATAATGAAATTAGTATAGAAGCTTAACCAGAAAATCAAGTGACCTGTTATCGACATCTGTATCCTTCATGGGCCACCCAGCATTCATTAATGAAGCAGATGATGGAATAGATCAATTTTTCTATGAACACAGTTAATATTAAAAGAAATGAAAGGGAGGCTAGCACCCAGAAGACCTAGTTTATATTTCCAAATATATTTGGATGGAACCCAATTTCAAATATTTCTTCACTTATCTCTCTTAAAGCCTTGCTAACAGCTAGGACAGAGAACGAAAAATAGTATGTATGCAAAGAAAAGCTTATTACAGAGCCTACTGACTGGCACAGGCCTTGTGTGTAATAGGTTCTCATAAACATATGTTGAATGAACACAGTAAAAAGAGCAGGGCTAGGCTTCGACCCTTGGCCAAGTATGGGATGCTAAAGAAAGCAGTCCAAACACCTTGGGACCCAAAAGAAAACCAGTTAATTTGGGTAAAAGGTCAAATACACCAAACAATGAAGAGACAAGATTACCCAGACTGCTCTTGAACCTCCACATCCTAAAGAGGAATTTGATATGGATTGATTCAGAATTGTGGAAAGAAGCCCATCTTTTCTTTTCATTTTTCATTTTTATTAACTCCAGTGGGAAAGCTTGATCTGTCTTTTGGCCATATCTAGTTTTGGTTTCTACTTTATCTCTCTTCCTTCTTACCTTTATCTTTCCTGCTAAATTGTTGATTGACTCATTTACTACTTCTTCACAGCTTCTTTTTGGCTTTACAAATCCACTGGAAAGGTATATGCGTGTATATGTGTGTGTTTGTGTGTGCGTGTGTGTGTGTGGGGGGGAATCCTCTTTACGCTGTAGATTTTGAATATGTGTGTATTGAACTTGTGCTAAAACCACTATTTAGTTTCTTAAGTACACTTAATGCATAATGACAAAGAAAAAGGGAACTTATGATAATTTAACTCACTCCATTCATCTTATAAGTGAAGAAATCAAAACCCAGAGAGTAAATAAAGTTTCTAAGGCCTAATGTCATATACTAGTCAGGTGATATTTATGGGGTAACAGTGTAGGCTTTGTGATTAACAATAACTTTCTCTTACCACTCTGCTTTACCAAGCTTTTTCAAAGAATAGAACACAGTGGAATTTTTAAAAGTACATTTGATTAGTGCATTACTTCATGAAAATGTACAAAGCAAAAGTATGTTTTGATTTTTGTCAGAAAAATGATTATTTTCATAAAAATTTACTATGAAAAGTTGGAGAAGTACCAAAAGTGAAAGAAAAGTTTCAAACAATGGCATAAACAAAAGACATGCTAAAATATTCTGAATGATGGGGCTAAAACTAAGACAAGTAAAACAAAAGAAAAATTTCTTCCTTGTTTTTGAAAATTCAGTACTGTTAGGACCTATAACATTATCATGAGTGATTATTGAGTTACTGTTTTTGTCAGTCATAGGGCCTAACGTTTTATTTTCATTTACGCATATTAAAAATGCTAGTGAAGCAAGGATATAAACTCTATCTAAAGACACTTTGGAGTTGCATAATGTTTATAATATTTAATCAGTTTCTTGAAGATGCTTAGTAATAAGTCTCTTAGAATAGACGATTTCTTTTTGACCAATAATTTATATTTTCTGAGGACTTAACTCTGGTATACATTCGTGTCCAAATGAAAGAATTTCATTGCAAAATGCTATTTAGTACCTGACACATGTCTATATTCATTTTGTATCACATTAAAAAAAATAAAAATTTCTTAATTAGAGTTTCACTGGGTAGGAAACACATTTGAATCGTATTTACTTAAACACTAAAGTGCTTGGACTTATTTAAGTACCATCTAGAACTTAGAGATCAATAAAAGTAGAAATAAAGCTTTTTAGAAAAAACCAAACTGAATATTAAAATGTAACTGGGTTTAAAAAAAAATGTTTACTAGTGTTACCTACAAATCTATATTCTTTATTATGATTTTTTTGTGTGCAATATAGCAAACTAATGTAGCATCACTGAGTCCAATACCACAAACAATACAAAAATATACAAAATGATACTTTATGCTGGTAACAAAACTATAACTAGGGTGTTAAAAATTTTAAGTGGAGGTAATGTATTACAGTTACATCACCCAATGGACTACTATTATGAACTAAAACTGGGAGCACCAAACCCCAGTCACAGTCAAAATTATCAAAAAATTTGAAGATAATTAACAATTCTGTTCTTAGGACAAAGTAGAGACTACAAAGTGGAGTGTCCTTAAAAATAGGTAGCATTTGTTAGGTGTCAATTACTATAATATCTCTTTGAACTTCTCAAAACAACCATATAAGGTGTAAGATGTCATAAGTTATAATTATACCCAGGCTACGGGTGAGCTAACAGGCTGAGAAGCTAAATGACTTGCTGGGGTTTCACAGTAAGAAAAAGAGCTGAAATCTGAATCCAGGTTTGATTTGATTCTGGACCCTTTGTTCATGTTAGTTTGTCGATCTGTTTCTCAATTGTGCAGGAAAAAAGGGGGCTATTATTCATAAGAAAAGCAATAAGCAAACAAGTAATGATCTCTGATAAGCAATGTAATAGTGAGATTTCAAAGTCCATTGCAGTGTTTTCTGTTTTCTTCTAAGCGGCCCTGCTAAATCACTTGCTACCTTTGAGTGGAGCTTTGAAATTGTGTTGCAAACAACATCAATTATACTCTGGAATATTTTAACTTGATGTTGAATATGGAAATTCAGTTAGGCGAATGTTAATAAAATTCAAGTGTTTTGGGAATGGATGGAAGTGACAGAATTTAACAAAATATATGAAGGTTTTTGAGATAGAATAAAGGTTTCTCTAGTTTCAGGAAAAACATATCCAATAATTAGTCAAATTAATAGGCTAAAAGTAAAGTTGCGTGCTCTTATACTGTAATGATTATCATTTTAAAACTAGCTTTTTGCCTTCGAGCTATCGGGGTAAAGACCTACAGGAAAACTACTGTCGAAATCCTCGAGGGGAAGAAGGGGGACCGTGGTGTTTCACAAGCAATCCAGAGGTACGCTACGAAGTCTGTGACATTCCTCAGTGTTCAGAAGGTAAATGAACCTGAATGCCGTGTGGGGCACTCTATTCCCCCTGTGTGTAGAACTGTAATTCACATTAAAGGTTACTAGAAATGAATCAATCACAAGAAATATGTTATTCATCCAAATGAAACTATAGATAATGTGTTGAGAATTTTTACATGATGTTTTCAAAATGATCTGATTATCAACAGATTAATGCAAAATAATGGAGCAAGTTATCAGTTTGAATTTCAACACAGTCTGAGACATCCCTCTAAAGAGAGTAAAAGAGTAGGTTTACTTACCTACTGTCTTGAGCTCACATACCTCAAAATCTGCTCCCATACATCACCCAAAAGGAGCTGAATGAAATTTAGCTGTTTGTTAGTAATGCTAATTCTGTTCATCCAGCCCTGCTTCCACAGAAATTTTATCAAAACTCCTCTGAAGGGGTGTGAGAAGGGCATATGGATCCAGAAGATTATAGAAGGGAACACGGGAAGCTCGACCCCACTCCCCCCATGTGCATTTTGGTGAAAATGTGACTAGAACCAAATTTGGCACATAGACTGGGAATGGAACTGAGTACACTTTAGAATAGTATCTGAAGAGATCAAAGCGATGGACCCCAAGCTGTCTTGAAAGCAGGCACCTTATATCCATATCTGTGTTTTTACCTCTTCTCACAGCATAAAAGGGCATTGTCCTTACTTTTGCAGTGGAAAACTGAATGACTGACAAGATGGAAGAGTAACCATTTCAACATTGTATGTGGTTTTGTTTTTCTTAGTTTCTGGCTACTGAATAGCTGGGTTTTTCAGTTCTATCAGAAACTCTAAAATTCCAAAAATTGAAGTGAAACATGGATGAAATTCTGTTAGAAATTTATTAGGATTTTGAAGTATTTGGGGAGGGGGTACTGCTGGAATGTTGTCCAGTTTTTATAGTATGATATCTTACCTGTTTGTTATTAGCCAAATATTTAAAAAAATATTTCCTCCACTAATATTCATTTAATATTAGGTTGATATTTATCACATAAAGAGTAAAGGCCATTGTTAGCTAATGATCACAGAGAAAGTGAATTTGTTTTCTGTTGTTAGTTAATTTAAAATCCTTGACTTCATGTGCTAGAGCCAGTTCCATCTGTTTGTAAATTCTTACTTTCCATCCATATCATATTCTGTTCCCTATGACTTCTTCATTGTTTTCTTTTCTTTTAAAAATAATAAACTTATCTGTGACAACGTTATGAACAAGTCTGTTTTGTACGAATAAGTCTGGAATTAATATTTGTCTTAAATTTGCACATGGAAGAAAAAATCCTTACTTTTGGGGGAGTTCCCACTATTACAGTTTTCTGAGGTTGAAAATCAGAGACAAGGATTTTTGCTTATTGGTTTTGTTTGACTTGGCATAATGTTTTCGAAGGCGGGTGACTTGTTCAAACTTTAAACAGCTTAGCAGTCCTGTTACCTGCCTACTCCTTGTGAGAATGTGATTTTTAACTCCTGGTTTATAAAAAGAACCTTCATCAAAATATACTGACATAGATCTTGACTGATAAGTGACGTAGAATAAAAGTGCTAGAAAATAAGTAATTGAAAAGTCCTATTTTCATTTATCTTTATTTCGTTAGAATGTAACTCTCTAATATCTTTAAGTAGTTTGAGGTCATCACTCCTTTAGAAAAGGGCATTGCTCATTGATATCAATGGTACGTGATTCTGTTGGTCACTGTGGCACTAAAGGTTGCAGATAATGCTCTTTCTAGAAACAATTAGAGGCCTGACAATCGTAGAATAACCCTCCCATGGGAGATGAGAACCAACACTTGCCCCGTAGCTTAAAAATGTTACAAGGAGTGTGAATTGAACAGTGATATTTTAAATTCAAGATAAAATGAGCAATGTTTTAGCAGGATTTTAATGAAGAAGATCCAAAATAAAAAGCATTGTTAGTACATTAATAGAGAAAAACAGAGCTATCTATAAAATGGATACTACAAAATAACATAGATCAGATATAAATGTCTACCAGAATACATGTGTGAGGGAGAAACCTCAAAATCCAGAATGCTTAAATAGCATAATGGGTGGGCCATTTCTATCCATGAGTATTAGCTTATTAAATGGCAAGTTATAAAGGTTGCTCCATTATGGATGAGATAGTAATTATCAAATCATTTTGTATATTTAAAACTAAACAAGAAGAGTACCTGTGTTCAAACTTTGAACTGTTCTTTTAAGAGACATACAAAACAGTAATTATTTTTTGAAATTTTTGTAACTATATTGAACTCTTGGCTAAATAATCATCTGAAATTTGTCTAAAAATTTGGTTCATAGAAGAATTGTATCTGATATCCAATAATTAATACTATTTTCTTGTAATTTAAGACTTTGAAATATATTAGTCATTCCAAAAGAAAATGAATACTCTATAACATTTAGAACCTTTTAGTTATACAAGGGAAATAAGTTCAAGAGATCGATTATACAACATGGTGACTAGAGTTAATAACAATATATTGCTTTTTTGAAATGCTAAGAGACTACATGTTACATGTTCTCACCACAAAAACAATAATTATGTGAGGTAATGCATGTTAATTAGTTAGATTTAGTCAATCTATAATGTATATATACTCCAAACATCATGTTGTACATGATAGCTATGTACAATTTTATCTCTCAATTAAGAAAAAAAAGAACCTTACATAATTATGTAAAAAAAAACCCCACTACCAATTAATTCAAAAGTTACAGAAGGTTGTGGTTATAAAATCCAATTTCTTACTTTAGCATTTGATTGGGATTTAAAATCAAGCAATTATTAGTCATTCATTGAAACAGATGTCATTTTTAATGATTGTCAAATATTCAAGTAAATACATTTTAATTAAGCCATTATCATTATTTTTTAAAGACCTTACACTTAAAATCCCAAACAGCACTGCCATAATTTTATGTGTGTAATTTGATACTCTATGTGGAGTAAGACTTAAAAACAAAAATTTAAATAAAAATATTATTTATAAATGTGGATTTGTGAAACTATTTATATTTTAGACATTCAGGTTTGCTCAAGTAATCACCTGCATGGATTTTTCTGAGAGATTGATTACCTTTGACTAGAATAAAATAAACACTGATTAAAAATAGATTCAGATACTTTCGTAGTAGTTGTTTTAGTCTGAAAACTCACATCACTTGTGGTTTTATGACTGAGAAAAATGGAACACAACTTTTCAGTTAAGTTGTTTAGTATGATGAGAAAGACATTAAATGAATGCTACTTATAATTTACGTGTAGATTTTGTAGTTTTCTGCTATTATTTAGGCCAGAACTATACTTAGGAAAAAATATTGTACTTATGAGCAGAAACTATTTAGTTTGAGTTTATGTGATCTAGGACAGTATTTTGCTTTTTTTTTTTTTTTGAAAAAGATGAACTTGATGGACCTGTTAAATAATGCCATGGCAATGACAGAGAGGGCCAGGAGGGCAATCCTCCCCCACCTTGTACTGCTACAAAGTTCATACTTTCACTTGTTCCCTTGGGTAGGTGAACTTGGTTTCCACCTGTACTACTTGCCTTTGAGCTAGGAAAATATAGAAGAGTCTCAGAATTCTGGAAGTTTGAAAAGTGAATATCAGTTCAATATTTAGTTTTCTTAAGGTAATTTTTATGACTAATCTGATAGTTTGATTCAATGGTAAAGCAACAGAATTTTCAGCCATTTACCTGGGATAAGATGGCCAATCAAGATGCTTTCCACATGGCCTCCTTTCCCCCATTCTCTAATAGGTGAGAATCCAACAAGAGGGCGAGCTAGTGTTGTAAACAAAAAGGTAGAAGGTAATGGGACAATGTTGGAAAAGGCAGGGGTATTGACTTCCTAAAATCATTGCTATCTGTCCATATTAAAGTATGGCCAGTTAGAATGTGAGGACACAATTAAAATATGTAAGACAAAAGGGCAATTTGAAATAATGGAAAGAACCCTAGACTATGGGGTCAAAAGACATGTGTTCCAGGCACAAGTTTGACATTTTCTCTTTTAGGTAAGTCCCTTAAAACTTGTGAGCCTTATTTTCCTCAGTGTAAGAATCAAATACTTTATGTTAAAAGTATGGCATAATCAAAGAATATGTAACTATAATATATTTGTCATCTCAGTTCCATCTCAGAACATGTATAATTCCCACCTCAAAAGCAACTTTCACTGCCTTCTGATATATAATATTCTTGCTAACTTTTATTTATTTATTTTTATCTCATTAGGCCTGCAGCTGCAGCCATAACTCTCTCTTCACTTTACTACAAACATAACATACTATTTCATGTTTCTGTACTGTTTCATGTTATTTTATCCCTTTATACCTTATCCAACTCCCATCCATCCTTCAAGGTCCAAGTAAAATCCAGTTTCTGCTAAAATGCCATTACTGCCAAACACTTAGAAGTTTTAGAATAGACCACATTATCTGCAAACTTGCTACTCGAAGTGTGGAGTCCAAGCACCAGCAGCATCAACATCCCCTGAGAGTTTATTATTAATGTGCCAGCCCAGATCCACTGAATCAGAATTTGCCCTTTAATAAGATCTCTGGTGATTTTTATGCACATTACTGTTTGGAGAAGCACTGATCTACCACAATCATTCTGGAAAATAGTCATCTGCTAGAATCATCTGTTTTGTGTAGATATCTTTCCTTAAGACTATTAAAAATCTGTAAGTCCAGGAAAAAATATTTTGTAATAACACCTATAGTACCGCTTCCCAGAAGATAATTCTATTCACTCTCATCAGAAATGTATTTACCATAACAAACTGCATTTGCTGGAGGAGACATAATAGATATATTCTGATTCATGAGTACTATACAAGAGTAGAAATTGTACATATGGATACTTATCTTTTATGTGTGACTGCAGTATTCTATTCTATTTTTTCACGCAATACAAAGGAGCAAACAGCAATGATAAAGGCCACATATTTTCTTTGAAAATACCAAACCTTGCATTCTTTCGCAGTTCCTTCAAATGGAAAGCTAAAATGTGATGATGCATAACCTATGTTAAGCATTTCGATGTGGAAATGATGTTGGCCAACCTGAGCACCTTTATCAATATGCTCTGGGACCCCTCTCACTTACAGGTCAGGTGCTTATTGACTGGAGCATGGGGAATCTCAGTATCAAATGAGGGGAAGCTGAATTGGTTCCTTGTCTGAATTCATGGATTAACCTACCTACATGAAAGGAAGTAGATGGATCAAGCCAAATGGTTGCATGTTTCAGAAAGTTAATCATGTCCAATTTGGTTATAAAAATCAAAGGTTTAAAAGTGGTGATTCTAACTTTATATCCCAAATTGCTATAAATACTCATTAGGCTAGATTCCAGTGGATAAAACTAAACATTGATGTCTTTCCCCACTTTAGCTACGTTAGATGATCAGTGATCGCGAGATACAAATGATGTGTTTGGAGAAGTCTGCCGGATTCGTAGAAAAGCCAAGCAATGATTTATTCCACAGGATGCTTGCTGTGCTACAAATCAACCTGTTTAAGTCTCTTTTTCAGTTAGTTGATGTGATTCAGAGGTTTCAGTGTTGATATGAGGCCATCAAGAAGAGAACTCTTAATTAACCTCACAGAATCATCAGTAAGATTCTGCATAATTAGGTCGGCTTATCCATTTTTTTCTAATAAGTGGGTACAAGGAGTTCAATAGCAGGTCATCTTCTATCCTAAGGTAGCTAAGAATGTGAGCCTGCCCAGCCTATTCAACATGGGTGTTCACTAACAGAAAGGAATCCTGGTTTCTTCTTTGAAAATATCCCTGTTCTTTGAACTGTACCAGATTCCTATTTGAAGCTAGTCTCTTAAATCAACCTGCTCCTGATTATAGCATTAACTGTATGAATATGACATGTACTCAGTTTAAATTGTATAATTCTTGTGGAGGACAAGCTGAGAGAGGAGAACTATTTTGCTGACAATATAAATACTGAGATCCTTATATTTTAGACCAAAATGGGAAAAAATCTCCAACGGTCTATCTTATATTTCCAGTTTCTAGGTAACTTTTAGACAGTTGTTGAAAACTTAGGCAGAATCCTGGCCCTGTGGTAAGTCTGTATGACACTAATCACAAAAATCCTATTTAAACTGTATGAAGAGTTCTATAGGGTGTATTTTATGGCACTATTTAAGATATTAAGCCCTAATTTAAAGTTTGAATAGTGTGCAGAGTTTTCTAAAAATTTGTTTGCTAAACAGGTGATTTACTGTTCTTTAAATGGAACAGTGCTGTATTTGATTTTGCTGTCAGAAAAAAATTAACCTGCCATGCTTTAATTTTATTAGTTGAATGCATGACCTGCAATGGGGAAAGTTATCGAGGTCCCATGGATCATACAGAATCAGGCAAGATTTGTCAGCGCTGGGATCATCAGATACCACACCGGCACAAATTCTTGCCCGAAAGGTAAAATACCACCGAATCATGCTTCAAATGATTCTTTTTGCAAACTGTTATTTGCTCCACGAAGAACTGCCATGGAAATTCTCTTTATATGATATTTTCTTGATAGAGCATGAACATAAAATGTAGAATTCCTCTGAATGTTCAGGATTCTTCTGACAGAGTTACAGAGCCATTATTTTTGAAGGAGGGAGTCTTCGGGCAAAGGGGTTTATGATGAGGTATATGAGAACACTGGCTACACCTTCAGCTAGTCTTGGCTGACTAGGTTAAAAGTTTCTACTATCAGGAAAGCCCTGTACACAGGACCATCGGGTGCAGAGAAGAAATGCCAGGAGGAGCATCCTCTTTCTCTCCCATAGCACACACACACAAAAAGACAGGATCAATTCAGTAATGACCACTTTGATAGGCCTCAGCTTTGGGCAGAGGCATTATTACTAAATGCAAGTGTATCTCCCATAGCTGCATCTTCAGAGACTCGGATACTCTAGGTCACATGCATAACATCATGACATAGGTCATGCATGTAGAAGGGAACAGAGCAAATGGGTGGAGCAAACAGTTTTTTTGGTTGCTTTATCCTGGTGTATTTTGAAATTGCCAATATGGACAGACAATTTGGAGAAATCAGGCAACTCAGTCTATCATTTTCCTCAGGAGTAGGTTTTGAGCATAAATAGTTACAAAAAAAGTCTTCTTTTGCCTATTCATTTCTCGTAAAACTTTTAAGTTGAAAAAAAGAAATTTCATTACATTTATTATAAAGAATAAAAATGCAAATAATTACAGAGGAATCTCTATCCCCACCTTTCTTTGGAAACTGCTAGGTTTTTTTTTCTTCTTTTTCTTTATCTTTTTTTGTTTATTGTTGTCCTTTTAAATGAAATTAAAACTCTGATTTATTTTTTAAATGCATGTCTTGTCTTTTAAGTGAGAGCAGAAGGGATATGGTAGCAATTAAAATCAAGTCACAAACTCAGGACTCTGTTAACTTAAAGGGAGGTGGGATGTGGAGAAAGTGGTGTGATGGAGTTTGTCTCTTGCTCTGGAGGAGGTGAGGGCGTGACCTAGAAAGCCTCCATTTTCAAAATTGAGCTATCATTAGTAACAGAAGAACTGAATCCTAACTTTTGTTTGAACTTTAAGTTTGCCCTAGAAGAGAACCTGATTTCTTAGTGAGCATTCTACATGAGGTCATGTTTAGGTAGTCTGTTCTTAATTGGGCTTTATGAGAAAAGGATTCACTCTGAGATCTCAACTGATGGACAGGTGCCTAGCTTATTAGCAAAGGGGATGATACCCTATACTTAGTGGAATATGAAAGTTAATAGATTCAATAGTTAATGATTAGCAGTCCTTGTAAGCCAAAACATAGAAAACCTCCTCTTTTCTTAGCTAGTAGTATCCAAGCTAGGTGGAAAGTTATTTTGTGAGCTGAGGCTGGGTGGTGCTTCCAGGCAGATTTACGTGACACTTTTCTCGGTGTGGTTTGCAGATATCCCGACAAGGGCTTTGATGATAATTATTGCCGCAATCCTGATGGCAAGCCGAGGCCATGGTGCTATACTCTTGACCCTGACACCCCCTGGGAGTACTGTGCAATTAAAATGTGCGGTAAGTTAGGGTCAAATTTATTGCTTCCTTTTCCTCTCACAGACTGGATCTAAGCAGGCGATTATTAGTGAGACAGGTTAACAACTATTTCACCTGATGCTTTAATGTGTGCGGGTTTTAATATTTTAAGAATGTGTTACATAATCCTTCCCAATCTTTTGTATTTTCAGAGACCATTATTTTGAAAGAGATAAATATGCAAGTCCATACATGCACAAAAGTACTTATACTTATGATAAAAGCCTAAACATTCTAATATTATTCAAAAAAATTTTTAAAAATCCAGAGAGAGAAAAAGATCAAGGAATACGTGCAGCATCACAACGTCATTAGGGCAGTAAAAGTTAGGACCTTAGATTCTTCCCTTCCGATCCTGTATCCTTTCCCCACCTTTCCTTCCCAGAGACATAATATGAACTGTCAGCTGACTGTGACCCTCTTCTGGTGAATGACAGAGGCTGCAGTGAAGAATAACGAGTCCAATAGAAGCTTTTCACAGATGTCTTGAATCTCTAGTAGCTGATTCCTACCTCTCTGATTGTCCTTGTACACAGCCTGTATTCTGTTTCTACCTGCCTTTTTCTTTGCATTCCCTATAATCTTTTTCTGTATCCTGGCCTCTGTTGAGCTCTCCTGAATTTATGCTAAAAAGCTTCTTTTTTTACTTGTGCTGTGGCATCCCTTTAAATCTGTATACTTGTCCTCTCCTCTGTGGCTAACTCACACATTTTTGCTCTTTTCTGAAATAGTGCTTGATAATAATTAGATATAGATGTGCTTTTTGCTTCTATGAATACAGGTCTCATTTTTTCAATTGGATCCTGAAATGCTTTCAGATCAATAGAGTTGCAAAAATTTAATAAGGTGTAATAATGTTATCAATTGGCTTGATAATACAAAGGTATGTGTGTATGTGTGTGTGTGTATATATATTTTCAGTGTGGACTTGGTAGACAAATGTACATATATATATAGGACCAAATATATATAAAGGACCCCCTTTATGTATATGTAAAATAAATAAATAAGAACCCAGAGTAACATATACAATTATGAGGACATGGATAGATACTTGCATAATACCATATAGTAGCATGATGGCGATATTTCTGTAAACAAACCTTATCCACTAATATCAACACTATGGTACTGCCAAGGTAAACCCCTCTCCACTTAGACCTGCTAACAAGAAGAAATGTTTTGGGCAACTCATACAAAGCCCATAGAAAGAGGATGTGCCTGGCATATGCGAAATAACTGCAGAATCTGGAAGCCTCTTTGAGTGGAACTCAATGTTCCAAGGAAATTGAATCATCTGTTTTGTCCTTTAAAATAAAAGGTGTCTCCTGTGGCAGTGTTTCTCTGCATAGACTGGTTAGTTCCATTCTTTGACTTGTTTGATCTGACTAATCTTTCCATCATTCTAGACCAGTTAGGCAAAATAAAACAACTGTTTCTCTTCAGTTTTTTGTGTTTTAAGTACTCCTATAAATCTGCTCTGAAATACAACCAGTATAAACACACATACACACACACACGTATTCACATACATGTATACTCATCTGCACATTCACCTTTTAACTGGCATGTACACACTGAGGAATCCAAGTGTTACTCTCCTCTTCAGTTCCAAACCGATCTTTAAGTTATTTTAAAAAGAGATTGGGAGACAAAAGTAAAAAGACTAGAAAGAAAATGACAGGTCCTGACTATTAAATTCGTTTCTTTCTCTTTTCTGTTCAAACAGGAATTGGCTAATTATGCACATAACATGCAATAATTCTGATGGCTTTGTTAACTAGAAGGTGGTGTTTATAGGATGTTAATTCTAAGAAAATGATAGTAGAATTTGTGAGCCAAACCCATATTATTCAGATTAAAATAACCTTCTGAGTTCTGGAAATATTTTAGAAATATTTTATTACAGAATATCTTTTAGTTTAAAATATATCTATATGTGAGTATATATGTAATATACATAGGTGGAGATGTAAATATAGATGTAAAGAGATTACACTTTTATTAAAATGAATGAAATAAAGTTGACATTCTGGAAAGCATAGGAGATAAGGTTTTATGCATATTCTTTCAAATGTTTTGGCTCACATATACAGTCAAGCCTATCATGCAAAACTGAGAAATTTGATGGTAGTTTCAATTTTGTTTTAGTTTTCTACTGTGGCATAACAAATTACCAAAACTTAGCAGCTTAAAACAACACACATTTACTATTTCATTGTTTCTGTGGGTCAGGAGTCCAGGCATGACTCAGGTGAGTTCCCTACTAAGGATCTCACAAAGTCATGATCAAGGTGCCCACCAGACTTGTGACTTAGCATCCCATTTCAAGTTCACTGGCTGTTGGCAGAATTCAGTTTCTTGTGGTTATAAGGCTGAGACTTTAAGCTCCTAGAGGCTGCCTGCCATTCCCTGACAGATGACCCTCTCCACAATATAGAAGATCACTTCTTCAAGGCCAACAGGATAGCAACTCTACTGCTTTGAACTGCTGACCTCTAGACCTTTTAAAGAGCTCATCTGATTAGGTCAGGCCCACCTAAGTTAATCTTCTTTATAATTAATTTAAAATCAACTGACTAGGGACTTTAATTGCATATATAAAATCTCTTCACCTTTGTTTTATAACATAACCTAATCACAGGAGTGACTCTCTCGTTGTATTCATGAGTTTCATGCACACTCAAGGGGAAGGAATTATACAGGTGTATACGCCAGTGGGTGGAGATCTTAGGGACCACACACATTTACTTGCACTGGTTGCAACAGATAATTGATTATCACTTTTTATTTGTATTATTAAATTTCTGGGCCAGCTTTCTGGTTGTCTTTTAGTCCAGACCAGCTAAACTCATTCTGGGTTTTCAGTATGTTTGAAGAAAAGAATAGAGTTGATGATTGTGTCACTTACTCTTTTACAAGTTGAAAAGAGATTTTTAAACTCTTGGTTCATGACATAATAACTGTATTAGAAAATCAAAATTGCCATCATTTATTTAACACAGAGAAATGCTTTCCATCTAGTATCAATAATTCTTATTTCAATTCTATGAAATGGCTGTGATGAGGCAGTGAAGAGAGGTGCAAAGACATGGATGGGTGGAGCAGAACTGCAGTGTTCAAGACATAGCAAGTAGGTTGGTATGGGTAGGGTGTGGGGTTAAAACAGGAAAATGGAAGAATATGGGAAAAACTAAGCTGATATGAGGCAGAACAAATAGGATCCAAGAGTAGCCCATCCAGTTGCCAAGAGAAACACTAAAAAAATTAAGCAGGGGGTGGGGTCTTATCTCATTTGTGATCTAGGATAGTGTTCTCCAAACTGATGTCCACGAAATCCAGGGAACACAAGGACTCTTCTAGGCTTCTGTGGGCATGGATAGTTTAAGGGGATCAAGTTCCAGCTCCTCTACTTCCATATGAATTCTTTCCCAAAGTCCCTGCCTGAGATGCACATGCTCTTCACAAGTCAGGCGAGTGTGATACCCCTATTTTCCCATTTACTACCACCCTTTCCTACTTTACTGAACAAAGGCAGACTTCCCATTCCTCTTGAATTTTGCTGTAGTGCATTGCCCTGGGATGTAAAAACCTTGGGGACACTAAACAAAGAGATCTTTGAAAATACATCAAACATATATCCGTGCTGTTTATTATCATTTATGGACTACTAATAATGAATGAATCTATCCAGAATATATACATACACATATGGGTGTGTTTCTGAGCATGTGGTATGTGTGTGTGTATGTTTAGTGTAGGTGTGTGTATTTATCTCTTAGAACCTTGTGATCACAGGAAATTAAAAAATTTATACATTGAATATAAAAATCTTTCAGAGAACATGATGAGGTGAGGAATAAAAGGCTCACCAACATAAAGTTCATAAAATACAAGCCAGTAAGAAATAACGAGAGTGTGAAATAAAGAGTTAGGACAATAAGTAAGCAGTGAGAAAAATAAGGTGAAGAAGGATGTGAACAATGTTAAAGAGGTCAAATGTCCAAGTTATTCATATAATAACAAATAGCATATAGTGGGAAATGGGATAGTAAAAGAGAAAAGTCTAGAATATTTCCCAAGTTATTGGGAGATGAAATAAGAGAGGTATTAATTTAAGGAGAAAGATGATAAGTTTAGTTCTGCTTATATTGAGATGCAAGTGCTTGGAGTCTATGTCCATAGTGCAAACAAGATCGGTCTTCTCTAGAAGGTCATGGAAAGTCATGAGTGAATATGACAGTCAAAGCCTTGGGCACAAGGCAATCTCAGCAAGCGTGAAGAAAAAAAAGAGGGTTGTTTTTCCCTTTCTCCATAACATTCATTAAATAAATATTATTTGAGCAGCTATTATTTGTCAAACATGTTTCTAGATGCAGGGATAGAAAAGTGACCAAAACAGACCAAGGCCTGTGATAAAATTGAAGTTTTAGAGCTTTACCATGAACTAGCAAAGCAAAAGCTGATAGTGCCTTGATACTGAGATACTTACACTTTTCAGAGCCAATGTTTGAATGCTGCTCTTGGTTCCTTTTATTTGTTCAAAGCTGAATGAACTACAAATTTGTTCTTGTGACTTTGCTCTCAAGCTCCTACCTTACATCAGTGTATCACTTGAAAGGGAAGGATGAATGTTGCTTGTTGACTGACAAATGTACTGAGTACTCAGGACAGGTCTTCTTAGCCTTCCCTCACACTGCATTCCTCAGAAGGGGACTTCTACCCAAATATCAGCAGCTCACAAGTTTTCTGACTATATAACTTTTAGCAGAATTCCAGGCACATGGAATTTTAAGACATTGCAAACATATAAGAAGATTGGAAGTCCTGTATAGTGCCTGAAAGAAGTATTGGTTTTCTTATGGTTTTCCCCTGTAATAACTTTATGTTCTGAATAAAAGTTTGTCCTATATATCAGTCCACTGCTTCAGAGAGAAACAATATCTGTTAGAACTAATTGGGTTTTTCTGAAGTGAATTTCA